CAAGTATATGGATCCTTCATATAAATTGTATAATAGGCTGTTCGGACCTATTGCATGCAACTTTATATTACATTTTTGCGACATTGTTTTTGCGCCTTAAACCTGTCACGTCCTGATCATACTTTGTCAACTTTTACCGCTACACAAGGCTCTTTTTACTACCTCAATTTTTAGAAATTTATTGTTTATCGTTTATGTTATTGTTAGGATTAATCTTTATAAACTGGAGTTATAATTACTCATGTAATGGTTGATTTAGGATATTACCAAATATGATATAAAATAATGGTGGATTTAGTGTAGGAATTAAATCCCATCAAACCCCAACCAAAGAGCACATCACACATGAATGTATTACCTAACTGGGAAATTTGACCGTACTTCGCGCGATCGGTAAAATAAGCTATAATTTTGTAGTTATATTTTTACATTGCATATTAAATATGGAGAAAATAAAAACGAAATCCATCAATTTCAACATCAAATAAATGGGAGGTAAACATTCACTAATAGTGAAAAATGTTATGTTATAACATTTATTTATAATAATGTGAACTTAAATTTTGTAAATGCAATAACATAATATTTGTATATTCACAGTCATTCTTTGCATGATTTATCTGGTAATGCTCCTTTATATATTTCGTTTCTAAGTTGTACTTATTCATATTACAAATATTCTATATGCATTGGTGTGATTCTTGTATACATCTCATCAATGGAAGATTCAGGTTGTTTATTTACATCTGTAACAAAAGACGAATTTAGTTTCAATATAGCAAAGAATAATAAAGTAATAAAATTATTTAATTTCGCATAAATAATTTACCATGACAATTATTCAAGGAACTTTGACGTTGATGATCTATAATTTGTTTATCCATTGTGGAAATTATGTATGATGCAAGACAAATTTTATCGTGAAGATATAAGCATATGGTGAATTGTATTATTAGCATAATGCATTTTTTTTTATATGTGTACATTTTTATGCTCCTTAGAGACAAAATATGTACCATACATAAAATACATTATAATGCAACAAATAAAATTGCTACATAAAATATGCCATTAGACAATATAATATAAGTTTTTTCAAGGATAGAATATATTATAATTCTAAATGTTATTGCTATCCAAATATAAATAAATAGAAATGGAAGCTCGTGCTCAAGCACGGGCCCAACATGGGAATGGCTTTTGTGATGATATTATAACGATCCGACCGGTTATTTTATTTTCTAGAACCCCGTTTCTCTAAATAAGACTTAAGTATGTGCTTTTACTGTTTTATTACTTGCGGGGATGGTTTGTGCGGGAGTTGGAAGAGTTCGGGTTGAAATCAGTACACTTGACTCCATGGTTTGGCCTTAAAAGGCTAAGTTTGACTTCAGTCAACATTTTGAGTAAACGACCTCGGAATCGGGATTTGACGGTTCCAATATGCTCGTATGATGATTTCGGACTTTGGCTTATGTCCGGATTGGGTTTTGGATGATTCGAGGGTGTTTCGGCTCCTAATAGTGAAAGTTGGAATTTTGGTTGAATTTCATAAGTTTGGGTCGAAGTGGATTTTTACATTATATACGTCCGTTTGGGATTCTGAGCCTGGAAATAGCTCCGTATGGTGATTCTGGACTTAGGATCGCGTCCGGAAGTGGATTTGGAGGTCCATAGGTCGTTTCGGGGTCATTTGGCGAAAGTTGGAAATTTGAAGTTTTTAAAAAGTTTGACTGAGGGTGGACTTTTTAATATCGGGTTCGGATTCCTGTTCCGAAAGTTGGAGTAGGTTCACAATATCATTTAAGACTTGCATGAAAAATTTGGCGTAATTCCGAGTTGATTTGATAGGAATCGGAATCGGACGCGCGGAAGTATTTTAGAAGTTCTTGAGTTCACGAGTTAATCCATGCGTTTTGGCGTCCGATTCGTGATTTTATATGTTATTTCGGTATTTTGATCACGCGAGCGAGTTGGTATGATATTTTTTAGATTTGTGTGGATGTTTGGTGTGGAGCCCCGAGGGCTCGGGTGAGTTTCGAATATGTTCGGAAGGATGAGAAAAGCTTCAGTTTTCTGGTGTTTCTTTGCTGGTGTTGCAGGTATTGCAATGCGAGAATTGGTTCGCATTTGCGAGATTCCAGTCGCATTTGTGACCTTGTCAGAGTTCGCATTTGCAAGATTTGGGTCGCATTTGCGACCTTGAAAGTGGGAGCCCAGGTTCACATTTGTGATGATTTTGTCGCTGATCACGCCCAACTCTAGTCCTAAAAAGGATAAGCGGTCGCTGCAAATATAATCCGGTCTAAAAGTTCGGAGTCGAATCCCACAGAAAACTAAGGCTTAGCTGTATCTGTTTAATATCACCAAGAAGACAAGATTGAAAATAAATAAACAGCTGAAAACTAACTATGCTTGAATTGTAAACAATTAGAATAAAGGTCTAAGGTAATGGTTTCCCCCGTTGTTGATTTCCTTGGTTGTATGTTTCTTATAG